GAGAGAGGGGGAGAGGGAGGAGAGAAAGATGGAGGACCTGGGTGGCGGGAAATCGTGGAAGCCTAAAAATAGTGGGTGTCCTGTCCAACTGTCAACCACAGAAAAGCAGTATTAATGCAAGTCATTTTTTTTTAAGATTTATTTATTTATGCATACAAGAGCTGGGGTACAGGCCAGAGATGCGGGGGGTGAGAGGATTCACCAGAGACAGAGTGGGGAGCAGAACAGGCAGACTGACTGAAATACACTGCTGAGGGGAGCAGCGGGAGAGTCAGGAGAGGTCTGCTGCTCCATGTGGGTCACCTCCCTGGCAGGGGATCGAACTGGTGCTGCAGTGGCTGCAGACCTGACTTGTTTTCTCTTCAGTACCTGTTCCAAGCAACTTCCGCTCTTCTATAGTCACTGCACAGAATCCCAGCCCCCATTCCGACAGGATTGTATTAGTGGTTTGCGGGGACTGGTATAATGTGCTGGCAGTGCAAATAAAGACATAATGAGGCAAGGAGCTGCCTTTCTACACACACATGTGCGTCTGTGTTGCATGTGTGTTTCGTCTCCTGAGACATTTTTAAGAAAATGTCAAACTTTCTAAGAATATTTGAGTTAATTCAGCACAAAGCAAGAAGTCATCAAATGACCACACAGGCTTCCTTCTAACCCTGCTTCTTCCCCTTTCTAGAAATAGGCTCTGTCCCAGCTCTCTCGGTGCTGCTTGCACAGCATCATCCCAAACACTAACTTGCCCCACTTCCACCCCTTAGTGGACTGTCTTGACATTTGGTTTTGTTTAACCAGACAGCTCAAGAGATTCATCTGCATCAATTAAAACACACAATTTGCATTTCATGTGCAGGCCTCGAATTCTTCTGTGCGCCTCCCATCCCTGGGGGGCATTGAATCCTCACAGCCCAGAGAGGTTGAGTAACTGCCCTGAGGTCACACAGCTTTCTAGTACTCGGCCAGTGTTCCTTCCCAAAACTCCCCGGTGCTCCCCCTTCTTGGTGTGGAATTGTATCTTTCTTCATTAACCAAGACATCCCTTGTTGTCATCACCTTTCACTGTGCTGAGAAGGCCTGGTAATTCTCTCAGAATCCTTCCCCCCAGGACAGTTTCTAACTGGAAAAAAAAAGCAATCTCTGAGCCCCCCTCTAGATATGAAACATGTGGCTGCAGAGTGGGCTTCAGTGTAGTGATCAAAGCTAAACATCTGGTTCTGGTCATCCCCCACCCTGGGCCCCACTCCAGCCCCTTGCGGGCCACCACAGCTGAAAGCAATTCTCTCCAATAACTCAATGGTTCTCAACTGCAGGGAGGCGATTTTGCTCCCAGGGAACATCTGGCTGTGTCTGGAGACATCTTGGGATGTCAGACAGAGGGAAAGGGCTGCTACTGGTCTCCGGGGGTGGAGTCAGGGACGCTGGAAGCATCCCACAATGCACTGGACTGCCCCCCCTAAATTTACTGGGCCTCAAATGTCAACAGTGCTGAAAAACCTTAGCAGAGCCCAAGCAGGTGAGGGAGGGCTGTTTGCAGACCCAGAAAACCTGGTAATTTTCAGGAACTAGGTGGGAAGGAAAATAGAAAAGTCATCTTGTATGAAAGGAAGCTTCATTTTTATTTTTATTTTGGGGTGACATTTTCACTCTTCCATGTGTGCACATGATCCCCACACCCCAGTGGAAGGAAGCTGACCCGGTTCATTCACTGTGAGAGGCAAAGCTCCCTACCGGGCCCCCATAAGCCCTCGCCTGAGGGCTGGGGACTGTGCTGGCCTCCTTGGACCTGGGTTGCGGAAGTGCCCCAGACCTGAATGTGGAGCACAGGGCAATTTGCATTTATTGTGCAGGCCTCGAATTCTTCTGGGCACCTCCCATCCCTGGGGGCACTGAATTCTCACAGCCCACCCCCCCTGCTCACTTACCAGTCAGGGTGCCAGGCTACCCCAGGTGCAGAAACGGCAAAGCACCAGGGCCCCAACCAGAGAGGGGCCTGATCACACGGTGATCAGACACCACTGCTACAGGGTGGTCCCTGTGGCAAGAGACAGAAGCAAGTTAAACCCTTGTTAAACAACAGCGACGTAGGCTTATAAAGGAGACCACTGTGGCCACAGGCCAGGAGCGAGGGGGGCCCGGCTGGATGCCAAGTCCGAGGAGGAAATGCATGGCGGCCGGAGCCAGGGGCAGGGGAAGCCACTCAGGAAACAGCAGCAGGGGGGTTTTGGCCAAAGCAACTGTAAAAGACCCTCTCATTCTTTACCCTAACGCTGTCCTCCAGGGCTCTAGGTTACCATCACTGAGGGGGGTCTCCCACTCCAAGCAGTTCTAAGACCCCAGCGGGGTTCCTCCCCATGCACTGGGGTTCCAATCACATCCCACATGTGAAGGGTTCGGTTTCCCAGGACCATCCCCCACAGCTCATGGCAGAGCCAGCCCCAGTCCAGGCTGTGTCTCTGCTTCTCACCAGGTCCCCACGATCGCCCCCTGGGGGTGATGAATTTGCAGGGCAGCTCACAGAACTCGGGAAGACTCCCCTAGGCCCATCTGTAGGGCCAGGGAGGCATGGGTGGGGCAGGTTCTCTATCAAGTCGGGAGACAGTAAAGAGTCCTGGAGCCTCAGAGGCTTTTTCAGGTTTTTAATGGTCTTTCAACACCATTTGCAGTGAGACAACCAGGTGCAGGGCAGGCAGGGGGCGGGAGGCAGGCAGGCTGGAAAGTGACCTGGCCTCCCCCAACTATTTACTCTCTTTGAGCTCTCTCCGGCGTTCTCTCGTGGTCTCTTCCTCTCAGAGCCATTCCCCACCGCCGCTGTCCTCTGTGCAATTTCCCCTTATAGCCTCGGCCTCCGCCACCGTCAGGCATGTGTGCCCCACGTGCCCAAGCCCAAGCGCCTTCTGCATTCAAGGCCGCAGGTGATAGTCACAAAGGCCCATGGCGTAATGAGCATTTCATTAACCCTACACCACCCTACACCCCTCACCTCTCTCACTTGACTTCCTCCTCCCTCTGCCTCCCTCATTCTGCCCCAGCTACACAGGATCCTCATCCCAATAGACATGCACTTGCCGCAGCGCCTTTGCATCCACCTTTGCCCTATGTTCTCTTACCCCCCATCCACCTGTCTCGTGGTGAACTCCCTAGCGTTCTTCTGCCCAGTGAAACCTTCCCTGCCTACCCTGTTTGCAATTATAATCCTCCCAACATGGTGAGCTTTCTCCCTTCCCGAGGACTCCACAGTTCACTTTTTTTTTTAAGATTTATTTATTCATACAAGAACTGGGGTACAAGTGTTGAGAAGATTCACCAGAGACAGAGTGGGGAACAGAACAGGCAGATCTACTGAAACACACTGCTGAGGGGAGCCGTGGGTGAGACAGGAGAGGTCTGCTGCGCCATGTGGGTTGCTCCCTGGCCGGCCGGAGATCAAACTCGTGCTGCAGAGGCTGCGGATAGCTTCAGATAGCTTCACAGTGCTGTGCTTAACCTCTTGCACCACCAGGGAGGCCCCTCCACAATTCACTTCTTTCTCTCATTTAATGACTGTCTCTCCCCAGGAGAATGGAAGCCCCTGGACGGCAGGGCTTTGTCTGATTTGGTCACTGCTGTATCCCGTGCCAAGAAAAGTACCTGCCTCAGTCAGTGCTTAGTAAATATTCATCAAAGGAACATTACTTCCGCAAGGAAGCTCTTGGAAAGAATGGAATGCTAGGGTGGGTGTCTAAAGGAAATCAAGATGAAATTAATTTTGAACTATTCACCTTAACTCAGAAAAAGTATTTATCTTTTCATTTGCAATTAAATTAAGGCTGGAATTGCAGCTCACTTGCAGCTTACTCCTCCCCCACTTGTAAAAATGCACTGGGTCTGTCTCCCCCATCTGGGCCTTGGGCAAACATCATGAATAAGTCAGGTGCATCTTCACCTGTGAAGAAAATTATTCACCCTCACTCTGCTCCCCAGCTATGAATCCCCAGCTCTCTGGGATGCATTCCGATGAGTCCAGTGTCTCTCCACTCTTGCAACTGTCTCTCCCTTATTGCAATGGTCTTGAATATTTCTTGCAGGTTTTTAACATGTCCAGTGCAATTTTTTTTCTCTTTAATGACACGTATTGGCTTGTTTGGGTTTTAGACGCAAGCTGAGCTAGCTAGATTCCGCCCCCGTAGCTAGACGCCCTCTGTCTGCTATTTCTGGGTCTCACGCCTGCCTTTCATTGTCTGGATCTCTATCCCGTGAAATTACCTGTTCCCTCACCTGCTCAGCCCTTAGCCAGGGAGCTCTGGAAGGGTGAATATTGGGTGACACGTAGCCCTGTTAGTGGACAGACTGAGGGCACCCCAAGACCCTCCCAAACTTTGCAAGCTCTAAATAGGCTATGCCACCACATAAAATTAGAGCACAGGAGGGAATTAGTGCACAGAATTAGTGCACAGGAGAGAGAAGGCCAATGAGACACCGAAAATTACCTCGTGGGTAAATGCCCAACAAAAGGGTTGGCCCAAAGCGGCAACACTGGGAGACAGACCCAGTGCAGTTTTGGGCAACTGAGGCCCAAAAACTGGCAACATGTCTAAGGCATCTTGAGGTGGGGGGAGCGGGGAGGAACCACAGGAGAGGGGAAGGTGGGGCAAGTCTGGATGAAGCAAAATCAAAGTTAATATAAGGGCAAACTCCCTATGGTCTCTCACCACATCTCTTCCAAGTGTTTCTTTCCATGTCCTCCAAATCCCTGGTGCAAGTCCAAGGCCGAGAAGCAAGCACGGTGTCTTCCTCACATGTCTCTCCGCTCCAAGTGCCTCTTCCAAACCTTCTTCCTCAAGCCTCCTCTGTAGTCCTTTCTAGCTCCCCCTTTCCCTCAGCCCCACCCCTCAATAGGTGGGGTGGGAAACCTGGAACCTCCCCTTTGAGATGACAGTTACATCCCCAGGGGCCAGGAGCACCCAGCCCAGCCTAGGACCAGGCACTGAGCTGCCCGCCCCATGACAGGTTTGGCGTCCAGTGAGTACCCTCACCCAGGAGAAGAGGGCAAGAAGGGACAGAGGGAACTTTCTGGAACAATAGAAATATTCAGTATCTTGATAGTGGTGTGGCCTACAGAGTTCCAGGTATTTGTCAAATACGTAACAAGATTGCTGTCTCTTAAAAGCAGTACATTTCACTGAATGTAAATTATACCCCAAAGAAAAGTATCTTAAGAAAAAAAGAGGGGTTTGCATTAGAAAGAACCCATTTTAAAAAGAGAAGGATGGGAAAAGCAAAAGGTTAACTTCCCAGCTAGCCTGAAGGAGCTGCAAATAGAAAAAAGCTATTTCCCAAAAGAGCTAGAACTTCTTGTAAGGAGGGCAGACACGAAACTCACATTTGGGGGCCTGTTATTTTCACCGATCCGGAACAAAGATTGAGGCCAAACTTGCAAATACCTGTCAACAGCAAGCACACGCAAGCTCTCAGGCTTTGCTGAAAGATAACGACTGAACTATTGCAGGCGCAAAGTGGGAGGAGGCAGGAGGCAATAAAGTGGGGCAGCCCCTGGTAGAATCTGAGGTTCTGGGGCCTGCACCATTCCCTTGAGAGACTATAGGGTCTGCTTGGATAGAAGATGAATTCCAAACCTCCTTAGTGCCCGCCCCTACCTGAGATCAGAGGGCATCATTTCAAATCCCAGCCCCACGTCTGCATGTAACAAGATTGCTGGCATCACCCAGGATGGCTGTGAAGACAACAGAAGGCATTAGAATAACCTGACCAGGGGCCAGATGAGCTGAAAGTTAAAGGTGGGTGGTGTGGAAGACCTGTGTTCAGAGACTAGCTAGGCTTGAGAGAGGTGTTTCCTGAAAAAGGGGGAGATGGTAATAGCACCCACCTTATACATTTACAATGAGAATGATTTTATATGTAAAAATCTATATCCAGTACTTAAAACTTTGCCAAGACTCAGTAAGTGCTTAATCATGGTAGAAAGCAGGAAGTGGGAGAAAAGGAGGAGGAGAAATCGTTGTCCTTCTGATGAGATGTTGGGGTTCAGATGAGCAGGGTCCTCGGGTTACTTCGGAGAGAAGTTTTGGCAGAGTACCCCTTTCAGCGGCACGTGGCAAGTTTGCTAAGGAGATGAAGATGTTTGGTTATATCCCAAAAGGGCAGGTTTATGAGGAAAAAAAGCAAAGGAGTAGATGTTTGCAGAGGGGGAGCTGTTCTGATACCGTGTTCTCCTTTGGAGGAGGGGCTCATTCCTCTGTGGAATTGTTACCTATTGTTCAATTGAGCACTTCTGGGGTTGATGGGGTTAATGTGTAAGGACCTGTGGGTCTCGGTCAATGTCCTCTATCTCCTGTCCCCACCTCTGGTCCTCTGGTCGTGTCCAACCATACTTTCCATAGCTGTCCTCACCTAGGGATTTCCTGCTTTTAAGGAATTTTCTTTTCTATAGCTGGTTTAAAGATTATGTTAATCATTTCTACTCCCACCTTGTGAAGCCTCCATCCCAAATTCTCTAGGCTACGCCTCCATCAATTATTACATAAACTTTACCACGTTCCAACGGTGTGACCTAGAGCTAATCAATGCACCTCTCTGGGCGCCCCTCAGAAGCCAACGCCTTCTCCAAAAAGGAAAAAAATAAAATGTGGTGAGTGCCCGATCATCCCTACCAAATTAAAAAAAAAAAAAAATTGGTAGCTGGAATTATGATGACATCTCAGAACAGCAGGCCTTTGTTTGCTGGTTTTCCTTATGGCTTTATTTGGCCGGTTTAGCATTTAGATTCCTTGGAGGCGGGAATTAAATTGTTTTCCAAGGGCCTGACCTATTGCAATGGTAACCAGAAGTTCAGCCCCTGTGTCCTGATCTCCTGCAAGGGATTCTGATGCTGGAGCGGAGGCTCCCTGCGTGGGAGAATGACACCTGGAAAATCAGCGCTGTCTGCTGGTCCCAGTGAGTCCCAGGGTCTGCAGGCGGCTGGTTAAAGCAGGTCCCTCTCTCCCTTGGTGAGGAAAGTCTTCTATGCGGTTCTCTGAGGTCTGGCTCTCAAGTTCAGGGTCTGCAACAGTTCCAGCTCGCTGGCGCCCCTTGTGGTGGAACTCGGCCATGGGCCTTGCTGGCGCCCAGAAAGCGCTGCTGTAAATGGACAATTTTCCAGAGCGATGGGTCGCGGGACCTCATTTCTGTCCTCCATCTTCCGTATATTTTTCTACTTTTCCTTCAGTGGTCTTCTGCACTGCTTTCAGATTTCAAAAATGAGTTCATGAGACCGCACTGTCACCCCTTACAGGAAGGTACCTAGAGCCTCAAATCCATGGAGACAGAATGTAAGATGGTGGTGGCCAGGGGCCAGGAGGGAGGAGAGGGTTGTGGTTTAATAGGCTCAAAGTTTCAGTTTTGCAAGATGAAAAAGTTCTGGAGGTGGATGGCGGTGATGGTTGCACAACAGTGTGGATGTACTTAACGCTGTGAGCTGTATGCTTAGAAGTGGTTAAAATGGAAAATGTTATGTATATTTTCCTGCAGTTTTTTAAAAATTGAATTAGGGAAAAGAAGCACCATCGTGGCAGCGTTCATTCAAAGTTGTGATGGAGTCGCCGGGACCACACAACCCCCCCCATCATAAACCCTACACTTGGACAAAAAACATGAAACCACTGTTTTCGGGCACAAATCTGTGATCAGGAGATCCAGAGTAAAAAAACTCACAAGGTGTGTCCCCGCCACTCCCACCTCCTTCCTGGGGATGGTTCCGCAGGAAATGCCATGTGGCAGCTGAGATTCAGGCAGTCAGGGGTCCTGTCCAGCAGAGATCAGCCTTTGGGTTTAGAATGACTGTACGATGAGGCAAGGTGCCAGAGGGGCATGCTCCCTGGCCAAGGGTCTCACCTTCTGTACCAGTTTCCTCATCTATAAAATGGGTACAAGAATACCCACTTCTTCATGGATCATTGTGAGGTTCCAATAAAGAAGTTAAAATGCAAAAGGGTCAAAATTTCCCTATGACACCTGCTGAGCTCCTCTCCAGGTGTTCAGTAGCACAGGCTGAATAGCGACCCATGCAGGGTGTCTGGAATTTAAAATGTATCTGCTGCCGATGCCAGGAACCCAGTAGCCTTGTCCAGCACCCCTTACAGTGCTGCCCAGAGCCTCTGTTCGGTTCTTTTGATATGCAGTGCGCATCAAGAGCCTTAACAATATTCACACCCTTTACGCGGGTGATGCTATTTCTGGGAATCCAGCATGAAAAATATATTTTATATTTTTATCTTAAAAAATTGCTGTGTTTTTTTAACCATTAATCAGCAGATGTTAACATGTGCATGAAATGGCTTGGAAAGGAGCAGCTCTGATACAAGGCGCAGGAAAGATTCAGGGCAGGTGGAAGGTCTGTGTTGGAGGTTGAAGTACATGTTTCAAGATGAGCCCGAGGACAAGGAGATTTTCCAGGCTTCTCTGAGCAGAGCTACTGACTATAAGAAGAGCTCCCAGGTCCCTCGTCCCCCATGCCAGCCTTTCCCATGCCACCATGAGGGAGCCTGGGAAGCATGGTGGGGGAGGGACTTGCCTGGAGCATCCTCCTTGGCCCTTGGCATTGTCTAGCAAAGTAGGATTGAACTTGGTACATCTCCAAAGGTCCCTCCCCTTCACTCTCACGCCACCACCCATGCATCTGTCCGGTGCCAACACCCCGCGAGTCACACACCCACGTGAGTGAGGAAGGTGGTGGCTCCAGGGAAGCTGATTGGGTTGCAGAGGAGGTGACAACCCCAGAACACACCACACAGAGAATGGAGGACTCTAGGGAGTGCATCCCATCCAGAGAACTCTCCAGGGAGGCTTCACTGGGTCTCCAGGAGAGGCTATGACGTGGGTGCAGAAAGGCACAGGCTCTGGGATCCAGGAAGCCTGAGTTGAATCCAGCTCTGTCACATGTGACATATGACTTCTGAGATCTTTGCTCACCTCACTGAGTATGAACAAAATAGCAATGGAGATATGTAATCTTAGGAAGGGCTTTGAAGGATGAATAGGAGTTTGAAGAACTCAGAAAGGTGTTGGGCATAGGCAGGTACCCAAGAAATATTTGTGGATACAAGTCATAGCAGAACAGGTTCTGCAGGACTTAGGGTGGTGGGAAGGGACAGCCTCACCTAGAGACAACCTGGTGTCCAGGAGAGAAGCAGCGTTGGGATGTTGGTCAGTCTTGGACCAAGATCTGCATTGGTCAGGATTCTCCAGAGAAACAGAACCGACTGGATATAAAAACCTAAAAAAGGGACTCATTACGTATGGTGGTCCAGCCAGGTCAAACCTGAAAGCTGATGATCTGGAGGGAGGGGGCATGGTTAAGTATGGATTGAACTGGAAGCCTGAGGACCTGCTACTCTGAAGACTTGGGGCCCAGGAGATGGGCCCCCAGCTGCCGCCAGAGCAATCAGCCCTCCTCTGCCTTTTTGTTCTTCCTGCCCTCAGGGTTTTGCAGGACATGCAACCATAAGGGTGAGGCTCTCTTTCTGTTCAAATGCTAATCTCTCCTGGGATCCACACTCACAGGCACACCCAGAAATGTTTCTCCTACAAACAGGGATCCCTTCACCCTGTTAAGGTGATACATAAAATCACCCATCACAGAATCCTAGCTGCCTCGCATGGCTGTGCCTCAGTTTCCTCATAGAAAAGCAGGATCCTAACAGTGAAAGCCCCTGGGATGTGGTGGGCCTTTCCGTTAGAGTCTTTGGGGTGTAGCGGCCTCATCTCCAAGTCCTTGTAGCTGCTAGCCTCTCCTCCACCCACCCACATCCTCCCCTCCCCCCCGCCCCCGCCCACAGATACAACATCCGTCCCCTGTGCCCTTATCTTGTTACCTGGGCACCCTGCCATCACCCCCGACACTTGGACACTTGTTCAGTTTCCCTCCTTCTGTAGCAGCTTTTTCTGCAAAGGCCCCGATAGTAAAGAGTCTAAGCTTCACGTGCCAAGAGGCAAACTTGTGACTATTAAGGGGTATGTCTATAAATACAGAGAGAAATAGAAAATAAATTCTCACAAATGCTCTATTGTTTGCCCACAAATTCTAAAATAAGGGATGGATAGAATTTTGTTGTAACACAGATCTACCAATGAGCAGATTGAAATTCTTCTGGGGACAGGTACACTTTTGCTTAGTTGGGGTTCAAATGTAAAATCTCCTCTTAACTGGAGAGTCGAAAGTGGCAGCTCTCTGTGCCTCTCCTTTCTCAGAAGATCTTGGGCCATTTACTCACAAACTCCTTCCTACCATTTGTTATTTGTTGTTGTTGTTGTTTTTGTTTTTTTTTAAGATTTACTCTATGCATATTAGAACTGGGGTGCAGGTCAGAGGTGCAGGGGGTGAGAGGATTCACCAGAGACAGAGTGGGGAGCAGAACAGGCAGATCCACTGAAATCCACTGCTGAGGGGAGCAGAGGGCGAGACAGGAGAGGTCTGCTACGCCATGTGGGTAGCTCCCTGGCTGGGGATCAAACCCAGGCTGCGCAGCTGGTAATAGCTTGACAACACTGACTCCATCTTATTCCAAAAATATAACCTCCAGGATTGTTCTCCCAAACTCTGCTCAGCTCAGCATGACCATTATGGGCATCCCAGGCAGAATATTTGCTGAGCTCCTCTAGGGCTGGATGTGGTGCTTAGGCCTGGGCACCCGCAGTCAGCCTGGCACGCCTGAGCCCCGCCACTCAGCACTCCCAGTCTAGGGTGGGGAGGCAGAAGAGTGAAGAGAAGATGCTTCCATTTCCCCTACTATAAAATGGGCAGAGTAATCTATGACCCATGTCTCACCAGGTGGGGCCCGAGAGAGAAGACAAACAGGCTTCAGAAACCTTAAAGAATCAAAGCCATGTGCCAGGGACGCTCCGCCTGCATCATTTTTAGCTGCCTTTTCTTGTCTAAAATGAGACTTTCTCCATGACCTTCTCCATGACCTTCAGGTTTCATTGCAGTTGGGAAGGATGGCAGAGTGGCATTCTCTGCTCACAGGGGGAATTTGGGCCATTTCAGATGTGAGATTAATTGAGTGCATCTACACATATTTGGGGGGTAGGGGGGGTTCTTCATGTCCTGTGGGCCCTCTGCAACTTCTTCCACATCTGCTGGGGCTGTGAGTGGCTGGAATACTCCCCCAGTCTCAAAGAACAGGTGGGTGGAGGCAAGTATTTAAATTCACACTGTGAGGCTTCCCTTCTAAGTCCTCTGGACTGGTCTCCCCAGGTCGGGTTTGCCCCCTCCCTGCGCCTCACCACCTCCAGCTCCCCCTCCCCCCACAGTCCTGATCTCCGCCCCTCGGTTCTAGTTGCCAACTCCTAATTGCTCCTCATAGGGGACTGCCAGTCATTCCCTGCAGGCCGAGCCCCTGGCAGGGCTGTCATTTGTCCCATTAATGACCCACCGGTAGAGGCTGGGCTGTTTCGGGGGAGAAGGGCCCAGATGGTGAGAAGAGGGGGCCAGGAGAGCTTGGCTGAGGCTGGAACCCGGAGTCCCTTCTCTGGGGGACTTTTAAGCTGGCTGCTGAACTTCATGCATCGCCCAAGGGCTTAGAGCTAATAAGATATTAGAGCCAGGGGACCATCTGAGTCTTCCAGTTCAACGGTTTTCTAACTATTTTAGTAGTGGAATTTTTTTCTTCAGATAAAATCCTACAGGGAGCCCAGATGCATAGAACACGAAGTGACAATGTGTTGTGGTTCTAAGTCCACGCCAGGCAGAGAAATGGTCGTCTTTGGAACAAACGGCACTGGAGCCATTAGCTATCCTCAGGCCAAAATTGAGCTTGACCTAAACCTCGCATCTTGTATAAAAATTAACTCAAATAGGGATCACAGACTAACAAGTAAAACCTAAAACCTCCAAACCTTAACAGGAAAGCAAGGAGACTATCTTTGGGATCTCGGGCGCTCAGGTTGTTAGACAGAGGGGTGTCAAAGCTTGATCCTGAAAGGAAAAATCTGGTAAATTGGACTTCATCCAAATCAGAAAAATTTGCTTTATGAAAAACCCTGCTAAGAGGATGAAAAGCCGAGTTCTACGCTACGAGAAAATCTGTGTAAACCGCAGACCTGATAAAGGACTCCTCTCTGAAATATATAAAGAAGTCTCAACACTCAGCAGTTAAAAAAAATCCAGTTAGAAAATGAGCAAAATACATGAAGAGAAATTTCACTAAAATGGACTTCTGGTGGCAAATAAGCACAGGAAAAGATGTTTGCCATCACCAGCCACGGGGGAGATGCAACAGGTGTCCTAGGAGCTGTCACTACTTACCCACTACAAGGACCAAAATAAGAAAGAGTGCAGATGGCGAGCTGGGGAGGACCTGGAGAAACGGGCTCTCTCGTGCATTATTGGAGGGAATGCAAAAAGGCACAACCATTTCAGAAAATTGTTTTGCTAATTTTTTCTTAAAAACTACACACCTGGGCCTCCCTGATGGTGCAAGGGGTTAAGTCTCAGCACTATAAAGCTATCCGCAGCCACTGCAGTGCAAGTTCGATCCCTGGCCAGGGAGGGGACCCACAGGGCGCAGCAAAGTCTCCTGTCATGACTACTGCTCCCCTCAGCAGTGTATTCAGTCAGTCTGTCTGTTCTGCTCCCCACTCTGTCTCTGGTGAATCTTCTCATCCCCGCACCTCTGGCATGTACCCCAGTTCTTTTATGCATAAATAAATATTTTTTTTTAAAAAAAGATTTATTTATGCATAAAAATATTTTTTAAGATTTATTTATAGAAGAACTGGGGTACAGGTCAGAGGTGCGGGTGGGTGAGAGAATTCACCAGAGACAGAGCAGGGAGCAGAACAGGCACTGCTGAGGGGAGCGGTGGGCAAGGCAGGAGAGGTCTACCGCACCATGTGGGTTTCTCCCTGGCCGGCCAGGAATCGAATCTCTGCTGCAGAGGCTGCAGACAGCTTCACGGCACCAGCGCTCAGCCCGCTGCACCACCAGGGGAGGCCCCATAAATAAATCTTAAAAAACAAACAAACAAAACAACTACGCATCTACCTTGTGACCCCACAGTTACACTCCTGGGCCTTTTCCCCAGAGGAAAAAAAATCTCTATACAAAAACCTGTGCACAAACATTCTTAGCAGCTTCAATTCAGTAACATCCCCAAACCTGAAAGCAACCAAAATGTCCTTTAAGTAGGCAAATGGCTAAACAAGTTATGGGACAGTCATACCTTGATAAAAAAGCGCCATGAGACACACAGTCATTTTTGCATGGCTCTCAAAGGATTATGCTGAGGGGAAAAGTCACCCTTAAAAGCACATGATTTCATTTAAATAACGTTCTCAAAATGACAAAATTACAGAGGGGGAGGAGGGGCTATCGGTACAGGCTTAGGGCTGGCCGGGAGGAGGGAGGTGGGTGTGGCCACAGGATTGTGCGAATCTTGACTGTGAGCTTGTGACATCCCATGCCTGTGACGGAGGGTGGCGGGAGCCACACAACACATCGGACCAGTGTCAACGTTCTGATTTTGATTCTAGGCTGTAGCTGCCTAAGATGTAAAGACGCAGCTGGTGGGGGTGAGATATTGGGGTTCGGCAAGTGAGCGGGGAAAAGTTTTCTCAGACCTCAAATTAACTATGGAAAAAGATGTTTGTGTAGCCTCACAGGCAAAGGCTGCATTTTATAGGGACAGGTTTATAAGGAAAAAGAGAAAGGAGTACAGGAGGCCCTGCATAGACCCAGGTGGGCAGAGAGATGCATTTTGCCAGAGAAGGGATATCTTTATATAGAGGTTTTTTTTTGGGGGGGGGGGGCAGTTTCATTCCTTTGTGAAATCTATCACTTCTAAGTTCTGGGTGGGTTCATCTGTAAGGACTGGTGGGTTCTTTTTTTTTTTTAAGATTTATGTATTTATGCATACAAAAGCTGGGTGCAGGCCAGAGGTGCAGGGCGTGAGAGGATTCACCAGAGACAAAGTGGGGAACAGAACAGGCAGACTGACTGAAATACACTGCTGAGGGGGGCAGCGGGTGAGACAGGAGAGGTCTGCTGCACCATGTGGGTAGCTCTGCGGATAGCTTCACAGTGCTGTGCTTAACCCCTTGAGGCACCAGGGAGGCCCAGGACTGGTGTTTCTTTGTAATGGCCCACGGCTCTCCATTTCCCCACCTACAGATTTCTGTAGCAGTCGTGCCTAAGATTGTCCGCAGCCGGTTTAATGACTCACTAATCATTTCTACCCCCACCTCTAGTCTCTAGCCTTGTGAAGCTTCCACCCTAAATTTCCTAAGCTTCTGTCATAACCATGTGCCGATGCCATGTGCCCGATGCCTCCAACCATCCAGGCAGCTGCCTCAAATCTATAATGATCAAAGTTAAAAGCAAAAACTAAAGGCTTAGGCTGAGAAGTCACTGCAGTTAGGGTTCAAATCCACCGTGAACTTGCTGTGTGCCCGCAGGCAGCCTGCATCACCCTCTGTGCTTTGCTCCTCCCTCTAATACTCAACAGACCTCAGGGGCTTGTAAGGGTTAACTGAGAACTGTAGACATACTTGTAAAGTACCTGGCAAGTGGTTAAGGACCTGACAGATGTTTGCAATTATTTTTTAAAGGAATCTGCCCTGATTGATGTGGGATTGGGGTTTGCCGAGGCACAGGCACCTCTAAGGAAGCCTCCCTGAGAGACCACTAATGAGGCTCTGCCCCTTTGTACCTTCAGCCTGGGTGCCGGTGCCGGTGCCGGAGGGACTTTGCCCAGGGTCACCCAGCACCTCCAGAGGAGTCACCTGCTCCTGCATCATGGTGCCCTGATAAACGTGAGATAACTGATGCCCAGAAAGGGCAGTACATGGCCCAAGGACACAGAGCAAGTGGCCATGGAGTTGTGGTCCTAGCCGGGGTCTGTGGATGCAGGGGCTGCCCCTCCCTTACCCCAAACTCTAAATAAGAAAATAGTAACTCAAGAGCACTGTAGGGTAAGGAAAAAGGTATCAGGCTTTTCTGCCCTCCCGCCATCAGGA